TATTATTATTATTATTATTATTATTATTATTATTATTATTATTATTACATATGGTTTGACTTTGAATCACATCTGGTTGTAATAGTAAACATTTGGAAGTTATGTGGAATGTAAATGTTAAACTAATGCTATAATTCAAAACTTGGTCATTTTTCAAAACTGGGGAAAATCAGAGTAGTTGGAATGTGTGAATAAGGCTGTTTTATAGGTGAGAGCAACTAATCTGACAATATTCTATTTAAGAATTTATTGAGGAAAATTAAAGGAGAGGCACAGGGTGATGGTGTATTCAGCTAGAGATTAAAACTTCATGGACTTTGAAAAAGTTGTTTGACCCATATGTTTGTCTATCTGTCTTAGAATAACACCATTTGTCTGAAATGCTATAGGGCAGTGGTGGCTAACCTTTTGGGGCTCCTGTGCCAAAAATTGTGCATGCGCTTGCGCATGCATGCTCGTGTGCCAGCATCCCCACGCCCCTGCACATGCACATACAATACCCGCCCCTTACCTGCACTGTCTCTCCCAGCTGATTTTTGGTTTGTTTGAGGCCTTTTTCGGCCTCCCTGGCTTGAAGAAAGCCTCTGCAGCCTGAAAAATAGGCCCGTTTCATCACTTCTGGTATTTCTGGAAATACAGGAAGTGATAAAACGGGCCTATTTTTCAGGCTGCAGAGGCTTTCCTCAAGCCAGGGAGGCTGAAAAAGGCCTCAAACCAACTGAAAATCAGATGTGAGGAGTGTGCATGTGCAGTGAGGTAAGTTTGCCTGCGGCTCGCATGCCAGTACAAATGGCTTTGCGTGCCACCTGTGGCACATGTGCCATAGGTTCGCCATCACAGCTATAGGGTTTCTTGCCTAAGCAGGGGGTTGGACCAGAAGACCTCCAAGGTCCCTTCCAACTCTGTTATTCTATTCTAGCTATTAATAGGCAGTGAAAAACTAATGGAAGAGAATATTAAAGGCTTGAATCTGCCTGTAGGCATTCCAACTTATCAAGAGAACATTTTATTTTGTACTTTAAATAAGAGTTTACGCTGCTTTCCAGTTCTTGAGATTTTCTCTCTGCTATCAGATAGCAAGGCTCTGTGGTACTAGTCACTAATTGCCCTTTCTGGGGGGGAAAAAAGGAAGAACGGCTTCCTCCATGTTTATAATTTTTATTTATTCAATTTAATTTATTTAAATTTCAATGATTCAAATTTATTTAATTTTAATTTTTGTTTATTCGTTTAGTCGGAAGAATAATTTTGGGTTTCAATTCGAGCAGTGGTTGCACAAGAACAAATAAAAATGAAGTCCAGACCGCTGTGAGGAAAGAATAAATATTTAGTCCTAAAAACAGTTTATTTTTAGGGGCAGTCTTCAGAGTGGAGAGGAATTAAAGAGTGTGCCTCACACACACACACCTTCTTTTTTTCTCAGCCTCCAGCTTTTACTTGAAGGCTGGTAAACACAGATAAAGTGAAGAAATAGAAAGAAATATATTGCCTATGGGTTATTTTCATAGATCTTCAAAATAGTATAATTAAGTCATCTTTTTAACTTTCCTTATTTAAACATAAAATTACAGTATGTATACATACACAAAATTACAGTATGTATACATACACAATTGACAGCAGTCTCTTTCAATTTAAACTTATAGAAATATTTGTATTACTCAATAACAATTTAATTTTTCAAGAAAATAGTTCTTTTAAGGCTTTTTTATTTATTTTATTACAATTGAAAGTACCTTTGTTTTGCCAAATTAAATTCAATTACTCATCGCATCCCACATCTTAATCCATTTTTTTTACTTAAATCCTGTGTATTTTCATTCCTGCCTAAAACAGGTGGTGCACCAGCCTAAATCCAAGTGTCCAGCAACCTTCCTAATGGATAGGATAGGGAAACATGCAAAGCCAAAGTTCTGTTTTCCTTGTCCCTGACTAACGTGTGGGTCCTATCAGTTTGGGGTGTACATGTGCACCCAGGAGACCTCTGAAGCGAGCTACGTAACATAGCCATTCAGTTTTCAAGCCTTTTGCTTGGGAGAACTGCTATATTTGGAGCAGGATGGGCACCACCTCCCACCCAACAGTTTTTTTGAGTTGAACTCCTCACTCAGGAAGACCTTTTTATTTAAAAGGTACAGGTCTCTCCATATCTATCTATATCTACTGGTATATCTATATCATCTATCTATATCTGTCTGTCTGTCCGTCTGTCTGTCTGTCTTCAGAGCCAGGTGAAGCTCACAAGAGTTTGGGGTAGTTGGGAAAGGCACAGAGCATAAAATCAAACGGTAGTGGAAAAGAAAGAAGGAAAAACCCACGCATATGCACATACAATTCACTCACTCAGTCACTCCTTGGCACAAAGTTTAAAAGAGAAAATATTTTTTTCACTACCCTCTTTGACCATCCAGATACTGACACAACTTCGCAACTAACAGCTACAACAAAATACTCATCCTTATTTCATTCAATTTTCAAGGCCCCAAGACCAGCAATGAGATGTGAGACCATTTACGGTACATAAGCTGGAAGTAAAATGCAATTGTGATTTCTTTCAAGCAGAAGCAAAAGTATTTTATTTCTACTTTACTACTCCAAAAACAATAGAGAGAGATTCATCTTATATAGATGAAATGCATGGGTTGGTCACTACAATTGAAATGTCCTATCCAAGCTTTCTATATTGTCCTACCTGTTGCAGTTAAAAATGCAGAATATGCAAGTTTCTGAATTCTTTCTCTTTTCCCCCCTAAAGATTTAACCAAAACTTCCTTGAAGCTAAGCAGGAAAGAAGCTGAGAGAAAAAAATCTATGAAGGTAGGTGATTATTCTTAGCATATTTATAAAGATACATAGACTACCAATTTATATTCTTTTCTGGACTGTCATAACTTCCTTAAATAGTTTGGGGAATTATACTTTGCTGAGGTCATTGCAAATTTGGGCTTGGAAACAAAAGGTGATGGGAGAGTTAAGGGTTTAAGATTGGATATCATAGATAAATAACAAACAATATTTTGGTTCTTATGTGAAGTATGAAGAAGACACCTGGTTTGACCAGCGATCAATGGCTAAATCTCCATATAACAACCCAACACCCATCACCTTTTCAAGCACTTGTCTATACTTTAAATCTGCAGCTGGATAAAATACAATGAAAAACTCCATAAAATAAAGCAGCTTAAAGTGTGCTCAAAATGAAACACACATATTTACCTCAGTTAGAGCAACTGAAGTAAGACTCACTTAGACTAAGGGTCTTCAAACTTGGCAAGTTTAAGACTTGTGGACTTCAACTCCCAGAATTCCTGACTGGAGGAACATGACTAGAGGAGGAATTCTGAGAGTTGAAGTCCACAAGTCTTAAAGCTGTCAAGTTTGAAGACCCCTGACTTAGACTCTTAGGCAGCAAAAGCTTCTAAAACACTTTTCAAAAGCTTTATTTGTATGTTTTGCTTTTTTTTCCCTCTCTCCTCAGAGAATGGGGCAACAAAAAAAACCTTCTCGACCCAAACCATCTCCCCCTCCGAACTGTGTTGCTACTTGGGCGAGCTGCAAGCCACCATCTCCTCCATGCTGTGACTTCTGTGCTTTCTGCCACTGCCGACTTTTTCAGACAGTCTGCTACTGCCGCATGGGAAATCCAAACTGCTAAATCAAAGTCAAGAATGCTTTCAGTATCTAAGTATATCTTCCAGACTGGTTGCCTTGTATCTAGTTTCCAAAGAGGCCAAGAGCCTTGTCTTCTTCCAAGAACCACATTCCTTGTGGGATCTATCTCAAAGGGTAATGCTATCAGAAACAAGCTAGTTCCTGCCATGGTAATGATGGTAGAGAAGGGGTGAAATGGGAGAAAGGCTGACCACTTGAAAAGGGAAGGGAAGGTGAGAGAATGAAAGTTACACATTAAAAATACATTAGAAGTAGACCTCGAGTTATGACCATAGTTGAGCCCAAAATTTATTTATTTATTTTTTTGTAAAAAATTTATTTGGGTTTTCACAAAACATATATACAAATATTTTTTTTTAAGAATAGCATGGTCCCAGGTTATCACTTCTCCATATAGGCACAAACTCAATTTCATATTCATCTTTGTGTTCTATTCCATATCTTATTACTATTTTAACATTTTCTCAATAATTTTTCCCTTCCCTAAGTTTTCTCAACCTTGCTTTTAATTATCTCATTCCTTTCTAAATTCATATATCTTTTTCTAAGTTTCAATATCTTTCCAATCATTATATTTATACTTTTGTCTGTCCTGTTTCAATTTCATATTTTCTTTTCTCATTAAACAAAATTTTCCCTTGTAGTTACTGATTGGAGTATGACACCTTTGTATCTTTTAATTTTTGTTCATTCAATTCTTATTTAAACTTCAATTTATGCCCTTACAATTATAGCATTCAATATAACACATAACTTCCAGTCGAATTCTGCTTGATACTTTCTTAAAATACACACTAAGTTCTTAAAGAGAATATATATAAATTTATATATATAAAACATTTTATATATATAAAATTTTATATATATAAAACAATAATAAATAAAATACTTATTCTATTCCAATTCAGCTCTATCATTAATGTTAGTTATAATCTTTAACATCTTTAACATTTCTTTTCAATGGGATATCATACTTCCTTAGGAACACTTATAATATTTCCATAATTTTTTCATATTTCTTTCATATTCCTCTTCACTTAAATTTTTATAACTCATTAATAATAATGAAAATGTTCCCGTCCTTTCCTAATTTCATTCTCTCATTCTCTTTATTTCATTTATTTATTAACAAACATTCCATTACATTACAATGAGTATTTTATCTATCATTTTAATCACACTTGTTTCATATTTTCTAAGTTCATTTCTATTTCTAATATAACAATACTATCTTATGTACCCTTGCAGAATCCCTCTTTCAATTAAGTTTTCACCCATTATCTCTATGTCTTCTAAATAGGCGTATACCTTTAATCCTTGTACGTTTTCCCTGTTTCTCTATATCCTGTTTCTGTCTTTTATAACTTCTTTTCCTTTCCCTTTTCCCCCTCTTCTTCTCCCTCCCCTTTTTGACCCCTTGTCTCTCTAATTCTAATTCTCTCTTCTGTAATCCTCTCTTCTGTTTCTTCCTAATATTGTAATTACTTTTCAAACTATTCTTTTTTTTTGGTTGTTTTTTCAGATCTTAAATTTTTCACTCTTTCACCCCTTTCCTTTCTTTTCCCCACATAGAATTACTTGGTCATTGAAGATGGCTTCTTCTTTGTCCCACCCTTCTTGTTCTACAGGCATTTCTTGTTGTTTCTCATAGTTCAGGATCTCCGTTTCTAAAAATTGAAATATGAAGCCAAAAAAACCTCTTCCTTCTTGTGCATCTTCTTTCTGTTTTTTAAGTTCCATTTTCAGTTCTTCCAAGAGTGATACCATTTTAAAAAAATTTAAACAACCACCCGATTGATTTTAGTCCTTTAGATCCAATAACCAAAAATCCAAAAATCACCAAATAATCCAAATAATCCAAAGCTGTTTCTTCTTGCTTCTTTTTTCCAGTTTCTCTTCCTGGGGTTCTATTATCTTGTTACAAAGTTTCAGTTAGAATGTACCTTTTAGGAATCTTGTTAAAGTTTCACTGTTAATTCCTTTTACTTCCAGGTGGTCTCCTCCATTTTTCCAAATCCCACCCTTTTGTTTTTTCCTTTTCTCTCCTTTCCTTCTTTTAAAAGTTTTTGAAAATCCAAAAGTCTTTATTATCCTTTTGACATTTTATTTTCAGCTTAAATGCCTGTTAATGTCAAAGTGGATTTCTGTCAGTTTCTTACTTAAATCTCTTAGTTGTCAATATGGGGAAGGAAAGAAAAAAAAACCAAATCCTTTCCCTTCCCTCTCTCATTCGCCGCTTCAAAATCTTCTTTGGGAGCAATTTTATTCTTTATAGTTCAAATTTCAGGGTACCTTATGTTGTTGCTTTTTCAGTTCGACCTGGTCAGCCAAAACGTTCTCTTCTTATCTTCCTCCTGCACATTCTTTTCCGGTCGAGTTCTTCTTTGAGGTGGCCATTTCTGACCACCGCTGCAACTGCCTTTGAGCCCAAAATTTATGTTGCTAAGTGAAACATTTGATAAATGAATTTTGTCCCATTTTACTGCTTCTCTTGCTACAGTTCTTAAGTAAGTAATTGTTAAGTTAGTAATATGGTTGTTAAGTGAATCTGGCTTCCCCATTGACTTTGATTGTCAGAAGGTCACAAAAGCTGATCATCATAAATATGACCTACTTGCCAAGCATAGGAATTTTGATCATGTGACCATGGGGATGCTGCAAGGGTCATAAGTGTGAAAAATGGTCATAAGCCACTTTTTTCAGTGCCATTGTAACTTTGAATGGTCACTAAACGAACTGTTGTAAGTCAAGAACTACCTATGTTTTCCTTCTAAAGAATTGCATTTATTGCGCTTCAGATGTGTAAAAATATGAATGAAAAACAGGGGCTGCAATAAAAGGTGTACTCCAGGACAATAATCATGTGAATTTCTAGCATAAATGAGACGGATGAAAACAAGTTATTGTTCAGTGATTTATAGTTAGCTTTCTGTAACGGGGTCTGGTAACATTTATCATTCCAGGTCAGTGGTGGGATTCAAAATTTTTTACTACCAGTTCTGTAGGCATGACTTGGTGGGGCTGGCATGGCTTGGTGAGCATGGCAGGGGAAGGTTAGTGCAAAATCCCCATTCCCTCCCCTGCTTTCTAGTTCTGTTCTTCTATGCAGGGCAACAAAAGAAGACCCAGCCCATCAGCTGGGACTTGGGAGGCAGAGAATAGATGGGTCCGGGACCAGTCAGAGATGGTATTTGCCGGTTCTCCAAACTACTCAAAATTTCCACTACCGGTTCTCCAGAACTGGTCAGAACCTGCTGAATACCACCTCTTTTCCAGGTGTTGCTTAATGATTGGACCCAACCATTGATGGGTTAATAGGAACTATGATTAACAATCAGTCTTTGAGGACTGCAGATGTCCCATCTCCATAAAAGGGAGCAGGGAACCAGTTTCAGCCAAGGGATTCATTCACTTCTCTAATATTTTTTTCTTTAATATCTATTAAGGACTAACGACCACCAGTGACGGATACAACCAAAGCTAAAATATTTTCTTTTTGCTTTCTTTGTTTTGCTTTTGCTTGTCTTTTCTATCACCTCTTCTCTGTTCTTCCTAGGTCTACTCTATACAAATCATGCTGCTTTTATTCTCTTCTCTGGAGAGAGCAATATGAGTGCAGGAATCCAACACAGAAGCAAAACATATGGTAATAGAAAGAGAGAATGATGCTTCTGTGTATACTTAGATTTCATGCAATTTGGTGAGAAAAGGGGATTTTAATCCTAGATTTACCCAGATGGAAAACAATTATGAAATAGGGGAAATGAAAGCATGAGGAGCAGTATCAAGGAAAGTTGGAATGGAACCTAGTAATTAGCTAGCAAACCAAGCAGAAACGGTTGGCAAATTATACTGTGTTCCATGGATCAGAAATTTACCATTATATCCATAATTATAAAACATGCTCTTCCATTTCTTAAAAAAATCAAGATACTAACTTTAACAAAACTATTCTCCATCTTCAGTTTTAAACTGGCCTATGTTTCAATTCAGCAGTTTTGATTATATTAGTGTGCATATAAAACTCCCTTTTAGAACCCTGTAATCCCTTAATTCAGAGTAGAACTGGGGCGACTGGATGGAATTGAACATTTACTGGTTGGATGCCCTTTCAGAAACCAGGTAGAATTTGCAGCACATTTTTTTTTCTTTGCGCCCTGGAAGAGAAACATCTGCCACTACCTAAGACTGAACTCTCAACCTTCCGAGTGGGAGGTAAGGAATAAAATGGACACATTTTCATCACTATTATTAATTTTTAAGTCGTAAAACAGTATAATGTAGCTTATACCATCCTTATCTCTACAGATATTAAAGTAGCATTTTCTTTCTACAATCCAAGGACATTCTCAAGATGCATATATATAATCTATTAAGATTTGTTACTTATTATCTTTGAAGGAAGTCCACTGACTACAGTTACTTGAAGTAGATATAGCATACAGACCTGAAATGGGAATAGGGTATTTCATGCTAGTACAATTTATTGCCAAATCACTGATGAAAGCACTTCATTTTAGCAGTGAAGAAAGGCTGATCAAGTTGAAAGAAACCATTTGGTCAATTCTCCAATCCTCTATTCAGTGCAGAAATATAAATAAAAGTATTCCTATCTGACGGCTATCCCTCATTTATCAGACCATGTGAAATGATGTCACCTCCTTAGCAACTCATTTAATTGCTGAACGTCTATTATGTTGATGAAGTTTTGCCTTTATATAATTCAAGTTGATTAGACTAGAAGTGATACGTGAGAAAAGCTAGAGTCCATATTTACATTTTTTTCAGGCAAATTAATGTACAAAAATATTAATGTTATTTTATCATGAATAAACAATATTGATCTGAAAGTTGTAATGCTTTGTTGAGATTTGGGGGGGCATGGCAGTCATTAAACATTTTCTTAATTTGCTTTTTCACACCTTTAACTTATTTTTTTATTTTAGATGCAAATATTAACACTACACAGTTAGAAATATGGTAGTAGAGAATGTATGTAGCTTAAATTAAACTGTTGCTTTCTTGTTCCCTAAGCTTGGTGTTTTTCTGCAGACATTTCATTGCAATGAGAAATACTAAGATTCCAATAAGAAAGGATGTATTATAATCAGAGGTGGTATTCAGCCAGTTCTGACAGTGTCTGGAGAACCACTAGTGGAAATTTTGAGTAGTTCGGAGAACCAGTAAATATCACTTCTGGTTGGCCCCGCCCCATCTATTTACTGCCTCTCAAGTCCCAGCTGATCGGCTGGGTCTTCTATTGTTGCTCTGCATAGGAGAATGGAG